GAAAGACAGAGACTGGGAGCGAGAGGGGGAGAGGAGGGGATTGAGAGAGAGCGAAAGGGAGAGAAAGGGACAAAGAGCGACAGAGAAGAGAGACAGAGGAGAGGCAGACAGAGAGTTGAGTCAGGCGGAGCACATTCAACCGTGCAAATAATTGCATTGCGGAGTATTGTAGACATGTTCCGAGTGTTGCGTGTCTGTGCGCGTGAGTGCGTGTGTGTCGCAGGTGATGTGTGTGTGTGTGTGGGGGGGGGTCATGCAGGCGGATGGTTGAACGGACAAAAAGCAGATGGATGGGCAGACAGGTGGATGGTCAGAGAGACAAGGCAGGGTATCCTGTCAACCAAATTGCCGGCAGTTCTTTGAAGCAGTTGGCAACAACTGCACGGCATTCGTGACACGACAACCCCCAAACCACATATCGGCGGACACTTGGAAGTCTCACGCGTCGCGTGTGCAGGTAATTGTCTTCTTTCATCTCCTGGAAACGCTCACAAAAGGAATCTCATCACCATGGCACTTTGATATTTGCTATATATCCCCGAAACGCGGTAAGAAACCACACCATGTGGCATCAATTTACGTTGTTGAGCCTACAAACCAATACAGCGGTGGTGGCTCCGATGTAAGTGGGTGTAGCGACAACGGCCCTCGGCCCTCTCATATCGGTTCCCCCTCTTGTAAGGTACCCTCTTACATGGGAGCCACGAACGTACAACAACACGTTTGCATACGTCTATTATAGAGGCTTCTTGAAGAGGTGTTGGGTGAGCTCCTTCAAAAATCACGCCATATCCATGGCATCAATCTACGTGGTTGAGCCCTGCAAATGAATAGCACATCACTCACGTCCAAAGTCTTCTTGAAGAGGTCTTGGTTGAGCTCCTCGAACTTGGCACGTGTAAGGGAGAGCGAGAAGTCGATGCCGTCGTGTAGGGCCTCCACGGTAATCGTCGCCTGCGAAAAAAAAAAAAAAAACAGCACGGACGTTAGAAGAACGTGCTGAGCAGAAATCAGAACGGTGTTTCATGGGCTGATAACAGACAACGACGACAACAACAACGATAGCAACAACAAGCAGCAGAAACAACGACAACAACAACACTGTATGCGAAACACCAGTGTGATGCAAATGAAGCAACAAACATTTAATCCAACAAATGGGGGGGGGGCTGGAAACAGAAACAGAAAACAAAACACGCACATACCCTGTCGGCATAACCCTTACCCCCTCTCATCCCGCTACAAGACAGGTATTTTCATTGGCCAGCCGGCTAGTGTTATCGATGTCATAATAGAACACAAATACATCTCATCCTTGCACATGTCGAGACAATCATATTGGCATCCGCATTTAGTGCATTGGGTATTATTTTTAATTTTGGCCCTCTTCCAGGGACCTTGATTTTACCCGCTACACTATTTAAAACGTTTTTTCATTGGTCTGCAGGTTAGGGCGGTCGATGCTAATACTAAAACCACACGGGCACCCACACACATGTACAGCAGTAGTAAAACGGGTCAAACCCATGGCCACACAAACACACTCACACACGCGTACAGCAGTAGAAAAACGGGTCAAACCCACTACCGTGGGTGATTGCCTGCCCACCTGAGTCTGGCTGGACAGGGTCCGCTTTGCCAGCTCGCACTGCCGCCTCAACCGCTGCACGGCCCGCTTGTTGCCGGACACGTCCACGCCGTTGGTGCGCTTGAACTGCTCCGTTCGTGTTTTCGTGTTCGAACGATTGATTTTGATTGATCGATCCAGATACGGTCCGATTCCATCCGATTCGATAACGGCGGAAGAATTAAGAATGAAGGAAGGCGAGAGGGCGAGAGGGCGAGAGAGAGACAGACAGAGGCGGACAGAGAGACAGAGACGGAGACGGAGCACACCCAGAGAGAGAGAGGGCCAGAAAAAAATAAAAGCAGACAGACAGAGAGCCAGAAAGAGATAGAGAGGCACACACAGACAGACAGAGAGACAGTGACAGAGAGAGAGGTGAGCAACCTACACGTGGATTCATGCAGCAGAGAGCACGCGTTTGCATAAAACAAATCCTAGACGGGCCTCCATGCCACCTTTCCTGCAGAAACCGGAACACACGTGTCCGGTCTTTGGCATGCGTGCAAATGAAAAACAAATGGGGGTATACTGGCACAGACCTACTTTTGGCTCCTTTATATATGTACGGTGGCGAACCTTTAGTGTTACGTAAGGCCTACAGCACTGTTTCCTCCGGGTTGGCATTTAAACACTTGCACCATCACCACCAACCTAGTGGTGACCTATTTAGGTCACCACTTGTCATGATTTGAATGGAATGATCGAAATGATCATCCGGGGGATCACCCTTCCCGACCGCACTCTAGCGTAAGAAGCGGAGAGATGGTACCCCCGCCTAGACCAACTTTCAACGCTCGATTGCTCAACAAATAAGGGGGGTGCCGAAAGAGCTCGATAGTTCTACGGAAAGCCCTCGACGAGATGTTTCCAAAACCACCGTTGTTGGTGTCGGCACAATCGCTTGATTGTGGAGCAAATCGAGCTTTGAAAATTGGTCTTAGGGGGGGGGGTGCCATCTCCCCGCCTCTTACGGCTTCTTGCATGGATGTTCTGATACTGAAAGTAAGCAAGCAAGTCACACGATGGGTGACGTGTTGTGCCCGGCGGGTGCATGAATGTATGTGCCTACAGCGATGTGTGGGCCCTTGCGGCATGCATGTATGTGCCTACAGCGATGTGTGGGCCCTTGCGGCATGCATGTATGTGCCTACAGCGGTGTGTGGGCCCATGCGGCATTTCTGGGCACACCCATGATACGTACCTGTGAGATGCAGTACTTCATGATGCGCTGGTCAAAGTCCTCGCCCCCCAAGTGAGTGTTCCCGCTCGTTGCTCGCACCTCGAACACCCCTGAGATATATACAGATATATACAGATAGATACAGATAGATAGATAGATAGATAGATAGATAGATACACAAGGGAACAGCACACACAAGAAGGGCATGCCACCAAGGAGATGCAGCCCGCACAAAAAAACAACGAACAAAAGAACTCCCGATAGATTGTAGGTAGATAGATAGATAGATAGATACACAAGGGAACAGCACACACAAGAAGGGCATGCCACCAAGGAGATGCAGCCCGTACAAAAAAACAGTGAATAAAAGAACTTCCGATAGATAGGTAGATAGATAGATAGATACAGCGCTTCGTGATGAGAGCGTACATGGTGTACCTCTCTTGCCGTGGACGCCTTGAGCAGAGCATGACGTTTTTGTTAGAGCACAAGGGAAACAGCACACACAAGAAGGGCATGCCACCAAGGAGATGCAGCCCGTAAAAAAAAGACCACAAGTAAAAGAACATCCCCAGCCCGCGGCATGCACAAAAAAAAGGAAAGAAAGCAAACAAGAGAGAAAAAAAGTAACACCGGCACGGGCAGCAAAAACCAACAATACACACAAAAAACAAGAAGACATGCACACACCCGCACAAGACCACTCGCGAGAAGACGACACGTGAAGAATTGCGCAAAAAATAAGAAATGAAAACAATGAACGTCATGACAACATGACTACGTCCACTACCTTAGTACTTCGAGTAACACTTACAAGTAATTCATATGCAACCGAAGGTACCATCTACTGAAGAAATCAGTGCTACAGCACAGTGGAGGGCCCTCCATACCGCCGCATCGGACGGCGCCATTCAATGCACAGAATGATTCGGCGATTTAGCACGCGCCCAGAAATTCCACCGACGCTATACAGGGCCACCGGCGCCGATGCACCGCCATTGTTGGCGCCCTCCCCCACCGTACTCCCACCGTACCAACATTACGACGCCGGTCTTACCGTTGTCGATGGCGAGCAAGGTGACGTCGAAGGTTCCCCCTCCCAGGTCGAAGACGAGGATGTTCTCCTCGATGCCTTCTCGGTCCAGGCCGTAGGCGATGGCCGCCGCCGTCGGCTCGTTGATCACTCTCTCCACCTTGTAAAAAAAAAAAAAAAAAGAGAAGAAAAAAAACATCATAAAATATGCATATACGAGTGTCGCATTTTTTTTGTCGTTACTTGCCGCAACCACGTACGATTAATCGAGCTTCAAACATCGGTCTTATAACGGGGTGTGATATCCTACTCAACCTACGGTATGTATCACATTCCTTGCCTGCAATCCCGCGATAGTCCCCGCGTCCTTGGTCGCCTGTCTCTGGGCGTCGTTGAAGTAGGCCGGGACCGTGATGACGGCGTGCTTCACCTTCGTCCCGAGGAACGCCTGGCATCGGTGGGGGGGGGGGACTCGTGTAAACGCATGCCGTAATTATCTCACATCCCTACCATGCCGGGACGGAACGATATGCGGGGTAATAG